ACTGGTGTCGTTGTCGCTAGGCCACAGCATATGCGAGTGCAGCTACAATTGCTGTCACTACTACCACCTCAACCACATCCACAGCCCTACTTCTTTCGGAGACTCCCCACTCTTTTGCGCCATCAGGGTTTGTTGCGGCGTGATTTGTCGTCAGTGCATAGTGCTTGTTGTCAGGTTTGCGAGAGTTTCACCGGAGCTGAAAGCTGGCTTCAGTTGCACGGGAAAGTATCATTGGCGAAGCGTCTCCAAAGCGCAGCTGTAGGTTGTGTAGCCAAGCATGCCACACCATTTGCCTTTCCTTTGCTGATCATCCTGTGGAATGCAGGGTTTTCATGCAGTCTCACCCCAAGTTTCCTTAGATGTGAACTGCATCGAGCTGTGAAATCTGCCAGTTGTGCTCTGATTTGTTTGCAACCGTGTCAGTCCAATCCGCATTTGATGCCGGAAATAAATGTCATGGCGCATGCCAATCCTAAGCTAGTTTGTTTTCTGTCGCACGCCGGATCGGTTCAAGCTTCAGAGCACTTCATCCTAGAATTGGGGTTAGCCCCTCATTTATGTACGTTCATAAACACATGATAGGTAGTCTTCGCAGTTTTTTGTTTGCAAAGGTTGCAAGGTGTTGTTTGGTTCAGGCATGCCGCTGGAGATGGCTGAGGAGTCTTTGGCCATCATGTATCTCGCTGCGTTGTTGACGTTGCTAAGCTGCAAGATTCTTTAGCATTCTGTCAGGACGATGGAGGCTGGATACTCGCTGCCCCTAGAATGAAGACCGTAACTTGAGACGTGTTCAGGTGGCCGGCCAACGGGTTATGTGCCAAGCGTGGACCCAAGAGAACGAAGAGAGAGATTCAGCAACTGGTTTGGTCGGGTTCAGAGAACTTCGAAACGATTCTTGCCGGGTTCAGAAACTATTTTTTGGTTGGGAGGGAGTGAGTGGGTCTGGGGTAGGTGGTGCGGGGTATTGACTTGACATGCATGTGAGCAACTGTTTAAACATCATTAAACATGGTATGAAGAGCACGTTGCTAGTTTCCGAACCCTACATCCCCAGCTTCCAGCTTCCAAACCTGAGTTTCCGAACCCAAAGTTTTAGTTTCGGAACTTAACGCTGACCGCTGGCTGAGTCGGCCCAGGCGGAGCAACCGGCACCACTGCTGTTCGTGAACAATTGGCTGCTGTAAAGAAGGAGCTGATGAGAAGACGGACATGGTTGTATAACTTGTCGTGGTTATAGCGATAGTCGATAGCACATTTCTTGCAAAGCGCACTAGGCGCACTAGACTGGATGAGAATTGGAGCGACTTGCTGTGTTTTTGTAGCCTGAGGAGTTGGACTTCATTTCGCAGCAGCTTTGCGGGCCAGGTGCAGTGTTTGGGACCTTTTGACTGGGTGCGAATCTCCAGCTGCACAAGCACAAATAAGCACATGCTTTGGCGCAAAGCTGTTGTTGTTGTTGCTGCCAGGAGCGCATTTTGGTGAAACCATTTTGGACGCCTCAATGACTGATTGTTTGTCTAAGCCAGCTCAAAGGGTAAACATGTAACATGTCCATCGACCAATTTGCATGCACTTGTTTCTTGTTTGAGACCCAACTAACCTGTATTAAAGGTATTTAGATGGTCCGAGTCCTAATATATTGTATACAGATACAGGTTCATTGATGCAGCGCTCCACTTGTGATCATCAAATTCATGAATCCATGATCATTCTGCATTGGTTTGTTGCTGTACCTGTGTACTCTGTTGCTAGCAAGTGGAATCACTGTACATGGAATGACAGCTTAGCTGTCGAGACAAGTCTTGCTGCTGCTGCTGCTCCTACTGACAAGCACGGAAGGTGGGTGTCAATTTCGACGAAGCGATATATTTATTTTCAAGCCATAGCCGATAGCCCGAAACATAGAAAACATAGAAAACCCAAGGATTGTTTCCGAACAAAACTGTGCTTGGCTTGGAGTTAGTTTTCCAATTGAAACTTTTCCTCTTGGCGAAGAGGAACCCATTGTCTTTCATTTTTTACTACACCATTCTCCATGTGAACTGCATTCCTTGCGTATTGGCTAGTAGGCTGTTTCAGTGAGAACCCCCTGCGGCACCCACTGTGGCAGACTGCCCAGTGGAGACCTCGTGTAGTGAGTATAGTGTGAGAGAATGTGCTCAGGTGGGCAGGTCCAAGCCATTGACTTGCAAGAGGTTGAGAGACTTGTAAAGCACCTTGAGGCTTTGGATTTCATGCATGAACATGTGTGAAGAAAATTGTTTCATTTTGAATTTTTGAGAAAACGATGCCTTTCAACTTTCAAGGTTGATCGCGAAGAGTTGGCCCAGAGATGTCATCGTTTGGCGCAGGAAAACAAGGACGCCGGACACCGGGAATTACCGAAATTCATCGCGGAAGACTCTCCCTCCTTGCTTTCTGGGGGACATGTCGAGCTCTTCATCCCAGTGTTGAGCTCTGTTTTGTGGGACACGTTGGCGGTCTGCCAGGAATTGTTGGAAGTAAACAGAAAATTGGAGGCCGTCAACCAGTGGATATTTTGGTGCGACAGTGGCGTGGGCTGTTTCTTGCGTCGATTGTGTTGAGAGCGATGTGCATGTTCAACACAACGAATTACATGCACATCACGCATTTTTAGATTATTGCAGCGTTCACTGTCAGAATAGGTCTGAACCCCAAGCGCGAGAAAAAACAAACAAGTAAAGTTGGAATGATGTTTGCAATACTGTAGTTTGTTCGAACCGAAACTTGGCCAAGGGACCATTCAATCTAGAAGCCTTGGCTCGAGCGCAATTATGGGTTTGTCGACTACACGCAGCCAGACACTGCAAATTGGGAGTAAAGCGGTTGGCATTGGCCAGGGAGCTTTGCATAGCACAAAGAGAGACTTGGAGGATGCGAATAGGCGGGATGGGAGAAGTAACTATTGAAAACCAATCAAATACACACTGTATAAGCAGTAGTAAGTTCATCCAAGGTCGTTGAATTCTGCCCAGGAGGCTACGACATCAGGAGCTGGACATGGAGACAGGCCATGTTTCATTTATCCAAATAAAATGTTGCAGTACCAGTTGTTCTTGTAGGCGATTCTCAGGTGTGGCACTTGGCCCAAACGCTTTCACAACGCGTTTCTGCTTCGTGCAAATGAAGCTGGGGGTGAGAGCACCAGACCGCCACACCTTTCCAAGGCTGAAGATCGTCTTACTCAAGAAGCTTTGCAGGATGTTTTGATGAAACACTGTACGCAAGTCTTGCAGAAGCTTGTAGCTTGCATTTGATATCTACAGTATATATATATATATGTGTGTGTGTAAATGTCCATATGCCTTGTGCAGCTTAGCTGGAGGCACTTCAGAGTACAGTGCAGAGTCATGCAAGGTGCAATACTGCATTTGCTCGCATTTGCCAATCCTTCCCTTTAGTTGCTGTGACAATACCGAGTGTTCCAGCACATTTGTTTGTCTATGCTCGCAATGTGTCACATCTACACAGGCCATCCAAGAGCGAATTGATTCGAGCGCTTCGAAAAGCACAGGCAAGTGAGATTAGTGGACATTGAGTAACAAATTTAGAGACAATATGTGATCGTGACTTCATTGAGCATTTAAGGCAGTTTGCTATTGAAAATGCTGGCTGTATCGCTACTCCCCAGGTGCAAAGCTGCTACAAATAACAGCTGTGAAGGCTGACGATGATGACAGTTGTGGTGACATGAGTTTCACTAAATTACATCATAGAAGGTGTGGCTTTGCTTGGCCAAGCCAAGCAATGCATGCAGAATCCTTTTAATTTCACTTCTCATACTCGTTGAACTCTCAAAGGTTATGGGCTGCATTTCAGCAAAGCAATGCACGGAACACACTCTGTGTCTTTTTGAAAAACACGTTTCTTGTAGATGGTGGACTCGTTGGTGCCCACCCGGCGACCCGGCAAACAGAATCCCCTCCTTTTTCTTGCCTTGTGGGATGAGCTCTTCGAGTTCTCAGAGTAAAATGGAAACGGCATGAGACAGCTTGCAGCATCTTGCAGCAGCAGCAAGAGCAGAGGGGTGTGTCAGAAGACGGTGTCAGAAGAGATAGGCGAGAGCAGAGGCCAGGCTATCAAGAAGGAACCAGAGTACTAATGACTACCCTGACCCTCAGTGGTGCAAGCACGTTGACCGAAGTACTTGTTATTATCATGTAAAAAATATACGTACTTAAAGAATATGAAACCGCTACAGGCACCTGCTATGGCTACGCTTTGTTGCTAGTTCAATCTGCGGGCTCAAAGTTTCTGACACCCTGTGGCCTGACTGTACGCAAGCTGGCCCATTGCTGTGAATTAGCCGCTTCATCAACCAGGAACTCCCAATCGAATCAAGTAGTTGTAAACACAGAAAGGCTCTTTCCCATATCATATACCACACCTTGGTCTTGGCGTAGGCATAGGATGCACTGCACCTGCCAAAAGTGAGGAAGATGCTGAATGCTGAGCTGTTTTCATCAATTTCCCACCAACACTCGCAGGAAGGTATCAACGTGCACTCGAACCCCAAGTAGATTCTCATCATCAACCAACCAACCCAACCTCCCACAAGGGCGATGGGAGATTCGTCGGAGCGTAACCCACTCAGACTTTAAGCATGTTGAACCAGACAAGGTCACTGCAAAGACACAGCTCGTATGCACCGCTAGCCAAGCAGAAATCCGCTTTTTGGAAGGCCCCCCTTTTTTCACGTATGGGTGAAGCCCAGAAACGGGACTCCAGGTACGGTCCGAGACTTGAGCGTTACTTATCCGATTTGGTTTGCAGTGAAGATCACAATGATTTCGAAGCTAGACAGTCCCCTGCAGTTTTTCTGGGCAGTCATTGATTCCTTCTGTGGATGTGGTGCATAGTTTCATGTTACTACATTATAATATGTAGTATTATGTACTGTAATATAATATAATACAATATTGTATAACATTACATACAGTAATCTAACGTGTATATTATATATTGTGTAAAGTTCTAGAGTTTCCTCCTTTTGGCTTTCAATCATAAGCTCTCCTGCATGGCGCATGGCGACTCCTACAGTCTGCTTGGATTGGATCCTTCTGCAAGTGATGCAGACGTACGTCAAGCATATAAGAAGGCAAGCGAGCTTGGGGAAGCTCTCAAGTCTTTTTGTTTGCGGGGAGTCCTGGAGCCGGGTGTGAGTCAGGCGGCCTTGCGTTGGCACCCTGACAAGAACCCGCAGGCAGCCTTTGGAGGTTGAGAGCCTGATGTCGCTGTTGTGGCTGCTGCCGAGGACAGAGCTGCAGCAGAGTCCATGTTCAAGAAGGTGGCTGAGGCGTACAAGGCAAATGCGCTCTTGCTTGCGCAACCAAGATTCAAGATGTTTAAAACTTATATATGGATTCTCATACTCATTTCGAGTGGTCTTTGGTGGTCCTTGGCTGCGCAAGTACTGTAATATCACTGTTTGCTGCACGCATGCGAAAGTGGTATGTTTATTATATAGTTTACTTGCCCTACCACTAGGCTCACGGTTTTACTAGCAGACCAAGCCCCATGGGCACACATGATGAGGAAGGAGCTAAATCCACTGGTCAAATTCAGGAAGAACCAACAAAGACCCGATGAAATGGGGACACCAAACAGGATGTGCCTGCATCAAAGCAGACACAATTCCAAAACTCATTAACGGTTCACTGAATCCTCAAGTTCCTGAAGATGCGCAACATAGTGTTCAGGTTATGCAAGGGCTATCCTTTTGCAGCATAGCCCCAAATAAGGCTAGACTTTCAGGGCCGAATTTGCACCCCACGAAGGCTGAGGGGTCTCAAGTTTACCGTGGCCGGCGCTTGAAGTCCTATTGGGGCTTTATGTGACTGTTGCCAACCAGTCAGCTACACTAAACACTAGAGCATGGTTGAGTACTGCGAAATGATAGTTCCAAAAGCCTCATCATTATTCAACCTGAAACGTACTCCAGTCCACATTGTATTTGCACCAACTGAAGCTCAGTGACCTGTGAGCAGATCCGAACTGGAGTGCGAGCCTGCGAGCCCGAGCCCGTCCCGACCCAGGCAAACATGACACCCCAGAGACATACATGCAGATGCTTGCTTTGGCACCCTCTGAAAGCTTCACAGCCTTGTGCGCCCTCTTGCTTTTGCAGCTGCATGTTCGCGTGCTGCACACACTGCCGCTGGTGGCACCTGGCGATCCAGAGCGCTTGCAGAACAATCTAGCTTTGAAAAAGTATATAAAGGGACGGCAGCAAGGGGCAAAGGGGTTAATTTGCAAGATGTGTGTTGGTTTGGTGCTTTTTGGTGGTGCCCAAACTGGTTCACTCGAAGCCAAACCCGCCATACACTGTCAGTGAAGTTTAGACAAGAAATGACAAGAAACTTTGGAGTTACGGACAAAGTGGAACCTAACCGCTTGGCTTTTCTTGCATTGCAAGCAAGGTATTTGTCCTCAAATCCAACTTCTTAGATCTTTTTAGTACTTTCTGTTTCGTTTGCTTCACTCGCGCATCCGCATTTTCACCTTTTCATTGTCGTCTTGCACTTCGTTTGCAGCCTAAATCAGGCCTTGGTGCTTGGACTTGGACCCCTTATAGCAGTGAAACAAACAAGATACCTCATCACTCAGCTACCTCGTCAAACAATTACCTCATCTGTCAATCCTCCAAGGAAGGTTTATAATACAATGAGATATTTTGGGGTGCACCAAGATGCCGATGTGTTCAGGATGTTGCAGGCGGTTGCTTTGTTAGTACACAGAATGAGGTTCAAATGTTGGAATGCAAGCCAAGTGTGTCCCAACCGAACTTCCTCATTCCGAGCGACTTGTATTTGAATGTTTGTTGAACTGTCATGTCAGGAAAGACTAGAAGATTCTAGAGCGATGTCACTGTGGCAATCGAATTTGGCTAATGTTGGAGTTTGCGCCCGGGACTTTGAGTGTTTGGGACGAAGCATTCTTGCGGGTGATCACGGGGATTCCGGGGAAGGGTTTCTCATATTCATGGACCTCATTCTAAAGAGAGCTCATACAGTATTAGTTCCATTCTTGAAACAGCTTGGTCCAGCTTGGCTCAAAGCCAAGTGGAGACTCGTACAGGACGGTGTAGAAAATAGTTATATACTTAGAGACGACATGTTTGAGGTTTCTAAAGGCTCAGAGAGAAAAGTACAGAGAAATAAGGTGGGGTAAGAAGTACAGAAATAACACATGCCGGCATCGAAGCAAGAGGTCAGCCAATGTAAAAGGAATCAGAAGAGCACCGCTTTTGTTGCTATATATATGAGGCTTCAAATCCCTGCTGGTTTGTTCTGTGGTTTCGGCATGTCCAGTCTAGATAGCCGTTCCGCCGCCACCCGATGAATAAACAGCACAAATGCGAAAGAAAAAAGCACATGCATATATTTTTGGTCAGGGGGAGTGTGCAATGGTTGGACATCTAGATACATTGGGTTTCTGCAATGGCTTTGGCAGGCCATCTCAAGCTCAAGGGCGAGCCGACATGGACATGGGGCGCCTAGATTAACGCTTGAAGCTGAGAAGGTACACGGTATACGCGCTGAACAAACCACAATCGCCCGCTACAGCTTTCAGTATTGTTTTGTCTGCTTCGTGTGTGTGTGTGTGCCCCTTGTAGTCACAGGGATCCACTCGGATTGTACTGTTCGTGTTTTCTTTTTGTAGAGCAGGGGGCCCATGGACACTTGGATGGCATGGGCCAACGAAGACCCATCCAAGCTGTCGTGAAAACGTACCTGCTTGGTGCACCTGGGCGCGTTATAAGACGCAGCTGGTGGCCACTTTCCTTCCTTTTCTCTTGTAAAGCGTTAATGCATCGGCAGTCATGCACGGAACGTCGTCACCTTGTCGCGTTTCCGCAGTTCGAGCTCGTGGGCTTTGAAGGTTCCTTGGGAGGTTTTTCAGTTACTATACGACCTAACCTGAAACCTTAGGGCCTTAGGCGTTCAAACCTAGGTGGGCGTGTGGCATGTGGTATTCGAGTCAGCAGGCATTTCTATAAGTATGTCTCTCCTAGTGAGAGCCCAGGGTGAGCCCGCAGAGTGCCCCCTGTGGACCCGTTGAACGGGGGCTTGTCGAACGTATCCCCTACAAAGCTGCTCACAGCGAGCGTAGGTGGCCTTGGCCGAGAGAACGCAGATTTATGTCCAATTTTCTTGAACTCCAAGCTGGCTTATTCCTTTACGTGACCGCAGCGGTCTAAGCAGCCAGCCATTTTGGCACGGCGCACGTGGCCGCAGAGTCTGTCGCGACCTTAGCCCCCCTTCCTCCTCCCCTCCCCTCCTCTCTCCCCCTTTTTGTCATCTTGGGGTGTTCCTGAATGTAATACTCAGGCTCACCCCTCTCTCACTGGTGTGTCCCTGGACGCTTGTGCGTAGCTGGGAACACCTGTCCTCTTCCTTCTCTTTTCCCTCTCTCTCTTTCCTCCCTCCTCTCTTCTCTGGGTGTGTCCTTGGACGCTTGTGTCGTAGCTGGGAACACTTCCCCTTTCCTTTCTTCTCTTTCTTTTTTCTCTTCTCTCCCTACCCCTCCCTCCTGTCCGGACCTTTGAGTGGGACGCTACTAGGGGCTCCTAACCTTACTACTAGGTGCAAGGATGCTACTTTGACGCTACTAGGGGCTCCTGGCTCTAGGGCGGAGATGCCTCCTGTTGGGGAGGCGTGTGACCCATCCAAGCTGTCGTGAAAACGTACCTGCTTGGTGCACCTGGGCGCGTTATAAGACGCAGCTGGTGGCCACTTTCCTTCCTTTTCTCTTGTAAAGCGTTAATGCATCGGCAGTCATGCACGGAACGTCGTCACCTTGTCGCGTTTCCGCAGTTCGAGCTCGTGGGCTTTGAAGGTTCCTTGGGAGGTTTTTCAGTTACTATACGACCTAACCTGGGGATTTGGATGGTTGGGAGCCAGTGGCTGAAATGGTCACGTTTTGGACCGGTGCTGAAGGGTCCTTGGCTGATGTGGTGACATGTTGGACCGGTGGTGTGGGGTCCGATGGTGCCGGTTGTGGGAGTGAGGGTTGAGCTGATGGTAAGGTTGCCAAACTCCCTGGGGGATGGTGCATTGCGGGTCTGTGGATGGATGATGGGCAACTGTTGCTTGTTGTGGCGCTGGAAGTGGGTGGGGGTAGGTTCTGCCTGTGGTGTGGGATGTAGTTGTGGCAACATGTACGAAGGGGAGGGTGCTGCGGATGGAAACACTGGGGTTGGGTGTGTGGGTTGCGGTGGCGGCTGGGATGGTTGCACAAACGTCCAGGTGGAAGGAGTGCCGTAGGACAGTGCAGTAGGGGTTGGAATGGGCATAGTAGGTGGAGCTTGATCCGATGGTTGCGGTGAGGGGAAGGTGGGTGCAGTTGGCGGCTGAGGCAGCGGCCATGTGGGCTGAGGTTGTGTAGTAGGTAGTGGTGGTGGTGTGGCGTGAGCATATGGCCAGGGAAAGTGCATGACGTAGTCGGACTCGTCGGTGGTGAAAAACAGCGCTGTGTAGTAAAGGCTTCGCTATGGCACGGCGCGGCGCAGCAGCAAGGATGCAGCTGAAAAGTGCAAAGTTGTATTGCCATAGTGATGTTGAAAATCTCATCGCTCATGTTGACGGAGAGTGTGTTGTGAGGCTGAGCTGGGTGTGAGCTTGTTGTCAAGTGTGGTCATGCATCTCGAATTAGAGTGGAGAACTCCAGTGTACGAGCTTGAGTTCTGCTGATGAAAAGGTCACGGCATCGATCTAAAAATGCAACATGTGAAAAACAACATGCATGACTGATCCGAAAGCTGGTGGAAGAGAAAGCTGCCGTGTTTAGGCCCGGCGGCCAATGTATCTGTTGATTCAAAGGGTGTGTCAATGACTTCCAATGGAAATCCGGTGAGAGGTGGCATGTTGGGTTGGTTGCTTTCCAATGTAAAAAACCGCGCCCCTGTGACGGGGATCACACTCAGCACCCGAGTGGGACGGCTGAGCGAAACACACTCTGACACTTGTATTCAGTGACTCAATTTCCACGATGGGAAGAATGGTGAGGGAACAGCAAGGCGAAAGGGTCGATGACTTGTACTGTTTAACACATGTTTCTCTCACGCGCCTGAAATGCAGTGCGCAAGTTGCTGAAGAGTGCGGGGGGAAACGTGTTTGCGGGGAAGGTATCATGCGAAACCACCATGAATCAAAAAGCGGAAAAGGAGGGTAACAGCTTGTGAAGCACTGTGCAGGTACGTTCTCAAGGCGTCCCTCGAGAATATCCTGACGAATGGCTGGAGCTTCGTTGGATCAGGCCAAGCCAGACGTCCCTGATCCCCCTGCCTGTGGAAGGTGGTTGAAAAAGGTGGTTGAAAAACAGTGGAAGGACCCTTTGTCCAGGGGTGGACACACACACACACACCTTTGTCCCGGCCCGTCCTCCTTTTCTTCATGTCTTCATCTCTTTGCCCATGCTGCGCGCGCATATGCACACTACTTTGTCACTTAGAAAATAGACCTGGCCTCCCTGATCAGGAGGCGTGTGTGTGTGACCCCCTTGGAGTCGCAGGGATTCCTTTGAATTTGTTTTTGATTTGTTACCTTTAGCAGGGGGTGCCAGGGACCGCGCAAGTCTGGCACTAACAAAGATGCTTGCATTGGTCTGCGATATCAACTCAGGACGCCAAGTTGACGTGCCTGCTCTCACAGGCTGTTCCTGGTTCATTAGGTTGCTGTAAAGTTCGTGATCGCTGGGGCTTTTCTTCTTGGTACTCTGAGGCGTTCATACCGAGGTGGGCGTGTGGCATGTGGCGTGCGCAAATTTCCTAAGTGCGCCCCAACGTGGGGTCACGGGTCAGCTGTTGGTGTTTTAGGTAGTAGGTCTCGCTCTTAGAGGCAGGGCTCTTGTAACTTGCAGGAGACGAGAGCCAACGAAGACGCTCACGCAGTGGTTGCGCCAAGGTACCTGCTATTGACTGCGCCTGGGCATCTTCGCGCAAGGTCGAATTTTTTCCCTATCACGGACATTGCGTTACTTCATGTGTACTCGTGATGGGAATCCTTTTTCTCTCCGGCTCGTATTCCTTTCTTCCTTTCACTGTCCTCCATGCTACCTGGACTACCTGTACGGATGCCCTCTTTATGACACCCTTGATGGGGTAACCACACCATGACCCTATTTTCACGCAGTACCGCAGTAACCAACCTGCTTTAACCGGCTTTGACCTGGATGTCAGTCTGTTGATCTGTCAGCCTTTCAACATCGTCAATGTCACCTTCCCTGCGGAGATATCCTACACTCAACTTACACAGTGGACGGTCTCCAGATACTTTGTAGCTTGCTCTCTCAAGCTATCCACTCACCACAATGGTACACAGCACGGAGCGCAAGCTTTGCTGGGCTACTTTGGCTGATCCGCCATGATGACTACAGTGACTACAGCTGTTTCTGCGGCTCTCGACCTTTCTTCACGATGGTTTGATCCCACAGCCTGCCTTCCGTTGCGCACCTATCCTGCAAAAACCGCCATTACACACTTCACCGGCATGATTTACCAGGAGACTTTCTTCTTAAAGCGCAGCGCTAAAAAGTTGCCCTCTATAGAGGGCATGTGTGTGGGTGGGTGGGTGGGTGTGTGTGTGTGTGTCAACCCCTGTACCTAAGGGTTCCACCTCACCGTTTGCTTTTGAAGTTTTTTCAACAGGGGCGTCAGGCTCGATACACGTACCTGACGCAACGAAGCTCTGGCGTATATCGAGGGATGGGTGGACTGATCATCCACCTGTACCTGCTCCAACTTTTGACCAAGCTGTGACTCCACTTTCCACGGTTTGTTTCATGGTCCTTCACGCTACTTCCCTCAAACAGGTTTCCCTCCACCACTTTCAGTCGCTGAGCCGCCGTGAGCTGCCGTCGTGAATTCTGCAGACGCGCGTAAACCACTTGTTCAAACATCTACAAGTTTTCGGACTTTCCACCTTGCCGTTCTCTCGCTTTCTTTCCACCTGGGAATTGAGCTAACTGAAAACCAATGTCAGAGTGTGAATCGCTCAGCCGTCCCACTTGGGTGCTGGGTGTGATCCTCCTCAAGGAGGCGCCGTTCTCATTCCGGAATTCGTGTAACTGATTCTGCGTTTCCACCATTCGTTGGATTTTCTTAACTGACTTCTTTTCACCAACGCGGTTTCTACCCCAAACACCCCAACCCCTCCCACCCACTAATTAGGGTAACAGAGGGAAATGGTACTCGGCGCACTTGTGTCGGTGCCTTTCCTTCTGTTGTCCCTTTTCTAGTCTTCTCTACCCGGGCGGTCTAAGACTAAAGTCCCGCTCCCTAACTATTGCATCTAATTCACTTCCGCTAAGTAATCAGTAACTCTAGAGTGCTAAGTATTCATACACACACACACACACACACGGACACACACATGTACATACACCTCCCTGCCCCCCCACTTTCCTTCTTGCGCTTTTGGTCGTTTCTTGGGCTTTCCCTCAGGCTTTTTGGATTGCTCTTGAGGCTCGTTTCCCTACCCCAGTCAAGGGCTAAGTATTCACTTTTTTCTGCTCCTACCTTTCTCTCTTGCCCTCTTAGCGCTGCTCTTTCTGTGTTTCTTTTGTTTCTATAATAAGGCTTTTTAGGTACCTATTCAGGTCGTTCGCACGAGCGCCGCAAAGCGGCGCCGTGTGTGTGTGTGTGTCAGCCCCTGTACCTAAGGGTTCCACCTCACCGTTTGCTTTGTGAAGTTTTTTCAGCAGGGGCGTCAGGCTCGATACACCTACCTGACGCAACGAAGCTCTGGTGTATCGAGGGATGGGTGGACTGATCATCCACCTGTGGTCCTTCACGCTACTTCCCTCAAAGAGGTTTCCCTCCACCACTTTCAGCCGCTGAGCCGCCGTGAGCTGCCGTCGTGAATTCTGCAGATGCGCGTCAACCACTTGTTCAAACATCTACAAGTCTTCGGACTTTCCACCTTGCCGTTCTCTCACTTTCTTTCCACCTGGGAATTGAGCTAACTGAAAACCAACGTCAGAGTGTGTGTCAAACCTTGTTCAGAAGCAAGCTTTCGCCGTATTATTACTGTCCTTTATTGCCCACTTGTCCTGAATCATGTTCACGCCCACCTTCGTGCATCCTTCGCAACAACACCCTGAGCATGTAGGCGCGCGTTTTTGCGCCCACGCCCGCCATCTCGTTTCTCCAAATATGTCCAAACGCGAAACTACCTTTCTGTTCGGCAACCTTCCGGGTGATACCGCTGTAAAAGCCAAGACAGCTGACGACTATTAACGACACATGTTGTTTATTTGGAAGCTGCGCCCACATTTCGGTGCTTGCTGCCCGCCACAGTCACTACGGCCTGAAGGCGCCCGAGCAACATCCAGACTGCGAAGGAGAGAGGGCCGCAAAGGCGGCCGTTGTGCATTTTTCTGCGCAGCAAAACTGACTGGAATCTTGCACGGTTGTCGTTGTTTTGCGACGGGGTGTTTTGCGTGGTTTTGCTCACACACAAACGCCTGCCACGCATTGCAACTCGACCCCTCAGCAATGTTTTTCCCGAATGCGTAGCAAAGGGTTCTTGTTTAACTTGGGAGTCTGAGGGTAGAGCTGTGTTTGCCCGACGTTGTTTTCGAGTTCGCAACCGTTTGCAACCGTCGTTTGCAACCGTCCGTATGATGTCTCTATGGCCCTGCCATTGGTGGAAGCTTTTGCAAGTGACTTTTCATGGATCTGTCACGTGTCAGTTTGCGCCGCCATTACATTGTGATTTGCATGAAAGTGACATGTCGTGCAAGAAACGTGAGGCATTTCGCTGCACAGGCGCAGGGTTTCGTGAAAGTGACACGTTTGTGTCGGTATTCCATTGGGATTAGCGTTTGGAGAGTGGTGTTTTTTTGGGGTGTTGGATGTAGCCGTGCCATTGGGATTTGCGTTTCAGGGTGTGGTATCGAAGCTCTGTTTTCGTGACACGTCTCAGCTGAAATGGCGATTTTGGTGGACGCGAGGGTGCTCAGAACGGGCCGAAATCATTCTAAACATGTGGTGCGGTGCAAATTTTGTTGAAGCTCACATGAGATGATATTGTCACTTCTCGTGGCAGGCGCAGTACTTTGTGCGGGTTTTGAGGTGTGGAAGTGCGATTTTCGTGGCAGGCGCAGGGAATCGTGAGGTTGCGATGTGTGACGGAGGTGACATTTCGTGGCAGGCGCAGTACTTTGTGCGCGTCAGACGTGTGGACGCGGAAAGATTCGTGGCAGGCGCAGGGAATCGTGAGGTTGTGAGTTGCGGTAGAGGTGAATGTCGCTGTGACATTGGGATTGGCGTGTGACCGGGTGTTTGGAGGGGCTGGAATCGCGAAACTGCTTGGCAGGGCTGCGCGATGGGTGTGCTCCGATGGGTGTTTCCGCTTGACTTTTTGAGGAAGTCTTGTACGAAACGCTCATTTTGCAGACTTTGACATGTGAGTTTTTGAGGAAGTCTCGTACGAAACGCTCGTTTTGGAGCCATGGACGTGTGACTTTTGGAGGAAGTCTCGTACGAGACGCTCGTTTTGGAGACTTGACGTGTGACTTTTGGATGAAGTCTCGTGGAAAATGCTCGTTTTGGAAGCTTTGCTTGTCACTTTAGGTGAAAGTCTCGTGGAAAATCCTCTTTTGCTGAAAGTCTCGTGGAAAATGCTCGTTTTGGAAGCTTGGATTGTGACTTTTGGTGAAAGTCTCGTGGGAAATCTTGGTTTTGTAAGCTTATGTCCAGCAAGAGTGTCTAGCAGAGTGTCCTGGAAGAGTGCCTAGCAGAGTGTCAAGCAAGAGTGTGTAGCAGAGTGTCAAGCAAAGAGTGTCACGCAAGAGTGTCTAGCAAAGAGGGTCAAGATAGAGTGTCTAGCAAAGAGTGTCAAGAAAGAGTGTCAAGCAAGAGTGTCCAGCAAGAGTGTCTAGCAAAGAGTGTCCAGCAAGAGTGTCCCGCAAAGAGTGTCAAGAAAGAGTGTCAAGAAAGATTGTCTAGCAAAGAGTGTCAAGATAGAGTGTCAGGCAAGAGTGTCCAGCAAGAGTGTCAAGAGAAAGTGTCAAGAAAGATTGTCTAGCAAAGAGTGTCAAGAAAGAGTGTCAAGCAAGAGTGTCGTGTCAAGAGTGTCCAGCAAGAGTGTGAAGCAAGAGCGTCCAGCAAGAGTGTCCAAACAAGAACGCTTTGAGTGCTACGCTTCTTTACAAAGTGACAGCGTTCGGGTTCATGGGTTCTATCCGGTTTTAATCCTGCTATATTCAAGCGTTAGGGGGCATTTTTGTCCGGGAAATGCTGTGTTTTGCCGTGTTTTGAAGATTGATACAAATGGATATGGTTTTGGACCAAATGTTGGCGATCCCGGTTATGCCGGCCCGGGAGATCGCATTATCACCATCGCGGACGCGCGTGCTACCCGGGGGACTGCGTTATTGACATCATGGGTTCGTTCGTCCGTGTGTCCTGCCCGACCGAGAGACAGACTGACAGACCGAGATAGACCGAGACACACCGAGACAGACACACCGAGACAGACAGACCGAGTCAGACAGACCGAAACAGACAGACCGAGACAGACTGACCGAGACAGACAGACCGAGATAGACAGACCAAGACAGACAATTGACGTCGCGCGTGTGTTCGTCCGTGTGTCCTGCTCGACCGAGACAGACTGACAGACCGAGACAGACAGACCGAGACAGATGTACCGAGACAGAACCCTCTGTGAAAAGACTGGTGATTAGATAGGGCCATAGCGACACGCGTCTTCACGCTTGAGCCCGGTTAACATTCAACTTGTGCTCCGAGAGCACAAGTTGCTAGCTCCCGGCTCCGCGAGCGCAGGTTGCTGCCGAGCCGGTAGTGCTAATGACACGCTTTTCCCATGTTGTCTGGATGTATGTTCGCATGTACGTATGTCTGCATGCATGGATGGATGTCTATGTTTGTATGTGTGTGTCTGTTTTCCCTTTATTCTGCGCGGGCGGCTTCGACCGCGAAGCGGTGTGAATATATATATATATACAATTATTGTATCTTGTTGTTATCATGTGTATATATGTTATATGTATATACCGGAGAAATGATACTATGCGCATCGAATCGTCACAGGAGACATGACTGGTGATGTACCAGGCACACAGCCCGACGCACAAAAAGAAACCCCTGTGTGAAGTTCAACGACATCTACAACAAGCTTCCACGAAGTAACCAACACCCAAATGAAAGAGGTGCGTAATTAATGCACTTCAGACACGTATCGCTCATCAGACTTGGGGCAAGTGGATGAAAATGAGCCAGGAAACGGGTCAGTTTGATCATTCTTGGACAAGGCAAAAGAGCACCCACAAAGAAGTTTGTGCACATCAAAGTATGTAGCCATCTCAGCATCATGTGAGATTCAAAAACTTTGTACGTATGTGAAACCAACTCACAAAACGAAGTGGTTTGCTGCACTGCTCGCAAGGTCCCAATCACTCTTCCAATTGTCCCAAGACTTCCGTGGAGACAAAGAGCGGTGAATTTGTTTGCTTCCAGCAAAATAGAGCCTGTCAAAGCCCTACAGTCGTGGAAATTTTTCCAGAAACACTGTCATCCTGCGCTTCAACATCAGCAGGTGTGACACTTCGTGTAGGAATAAAGTGTAAATGGGCAAGCCGTGCATGGTGTTGCAAAGTAAATTGATCAATGTCACGCTGCTTGGCTTTTCAACGCCCCCAAGAGAGTGTAACCAAGTGCAGAGTCGATGCAGAGCACTCAGGATCCGAAACCAGCAACAAATTTGATAGCCAGAATCAGCCCACCAGCAAGCAAGTTTCCTGCACCAAGCAACGTATATATACATATATTTTTGACAAACAAGCGCAGTCACCGCTGAAGGCAATCTTGCCTCGTGACTTGTGAGTGGAGGCCAACTCCACCATGCGAAGTGGAGATGGAAGACGCATACAATCTCTTTCAGTCTGTGTTTGGCCATGATCCGTTCAAGGACGCAGTTCATGTAGAGACCAGAGCAAAGACTCAAGACTTTGTCACTGATCGCTATTCTTTTATATAAAGTTGTGATGTGTGCAGAGGACTTCGACAGGTTTTTTGCAGACCAAGAGCAGGTGCAGTTTGGGTGATGCCTTCATCAATGGAAGAGACGGAGCCAGCAAAGTGCAGGCAGGCAATCCCACTCCAAGTTTCATGAGGAGAGTCCAGGTTTCCACGTCAACAAGGCAGGCTTGACTTGAATGTCACTTGTTTGTACAGCTCAAATTGGAAACAAGTAACTTGTTAAGATGCTAGCCGTAGGCATTAATTCAGATCTTTGTTAGTCAGTCTGCGTGAGTCCACACCGATATTCGGTGGAGCTGCGGGGTGATACTTGTGTGCAGGAAGCTCGTGTTTGTCCGCATTCTCCGTAATGTTTAATCAACAGTAAAGGTTTCGGGAGCCAAGCTGCGTTGATGCGGCTCAATGTGGTTACACAGATCAGTCGTCTCAGTGAATTGGCCCAAGAAGTGAATCTTGTCTAGTCATGTAATATAAATGTGGTCAGTTAGCTCAGTATCTCAGTAGTGAGTGATGAGTGTGGGCAAGCTATCGGATTAATGTGCTAGCCAAGTGCTGAGATATGGGTAAATGTGGCTCTAGGTCCAAGTTTTCGGCTAAGTCATTGTTGAGCAAGGTGGGCATTGATTTGGTTGAGCTGAATAGGTTTTGAGACACCTATATAAGTGGTGAATTAGCGCGAATTATGTTCTTTGCAGTCCAATCATGGTTTAAGCAGGTTATTGTATCATGCCCACGCTGCCCCTGCAAACAGACAGCTCGATATATGAACCCAGCATCTTTGCAAATTGCAGCTTTGATGTTTGATATTTTTGCATGCTGACACTCGCATGGAAGGAAGGACATCCCCGCAAAAGTCAACTTCCAACCCAACGTGGACGTGGAACGAGTCAAGCATCAACGCCCTGCAGGATTGCTTGTGTGCTGCTGAGGCCCTCAACGAGTGAAAAGATATTTAGCACCGACATTGGCAGTTAATGAGGCAAACATGCAGGGCTTGACAGTTGTGTTGTTGTTTCATAGTATTTCGATGTTTTTCCCCAAACAGTGTGACCACCCTAGGGATTCTTACCGCAAGTGTTAAGGCCGGGGGTTCATTTTGGCAAGGACCGGGCCCATGCCCGCGCTAGAATCCTTTTGGCAAGGATTCTGCTCCTCATACATATTCCATGTTTCATCCCCTTAGCCTTTTGGCTTTGGGTTGTGCCCCATCACCTTCCATGCCCTTTAAGGGTCATGTACATAGCCACCGTTTTGGAGGCAATAATTGAATTTGAGCCACAACGCAAAGAAACAGTCAACTTTACAGCAAGCCCACGCGTTGGTTGCCCAGCCTTTTGGAATAATGCTGAAACATAAAGATATGCCTTGCCAAAAGGCATTGCCAAGGTATAAAAGCACCTATTGTCAAGGAAAACATATCATTCAGTTTGTTGTGGTCTTTCTTTGTGGTGTTTGTTTGGTGGTATTCACGCCGCTCCGCGGTAAGGTCCGCCTGCACCGCCATGAAACAGTTGCCCAACGAAAACGGCGCAAACTGTCACTCAAACAGCCTCGAAATCACAAAATCTGGCATGGTGAACTGGAATTATATATATATATATAGAGAGAGAGAGAGATATTGTGGAGCTTCGCATCTGCGGAAACACCGTTATTGACAGTGTTTTTACACCGGAAAGCAAAAAACTAGACATAGTGATGTTTTTGAGCTTGTCATGGCCCACAACACCGCGATTTATTGTGTTTTTGAATTTGCTGTCAAAAAACACCGCAATTTGCAACGTGTTCAACAACATGGTCGTCAAAAACACTGCTATTTGATGCTATTTGCGAGGCTTTTTACATTTTCGCACAAAGACATCAAGCCTCGGCAATGTACAAAAACACTGCAAAAACCAATGTTTTTGCTCAACAAACACGGCGAAAACCGTCACCCGAACAGCTCCGAAATCAAAAAATCTGGCCCCCCGGCCTCCCAACAAGACACATGGAAACAAAAACGCGCCTCAAAACCGAAAATCGAAGACCAAAAGTTTAAAAACAAAAATAACGTATTTTTTTCACTGTTCTCTTGCCGGTTCCGGGCGGGCGCATGCACTAGCTAGTCCATTCTGTGCTAAGTCCACCGTCGCGACCTATCAAAAACCCATTGTTTGGCCCAAAAATGCCCCCCCCCAGGTAAACCATGGTAAACCTGGACCCTACAGTTGTTTATGCCATCCGGATGATCACGCCCTGAGCACCTTCGGTGAATACGTATTAAAAGTTTGGAAGCCATGAACCGTGGAACACCCATGTTTCCAAGTATATAATACCCTTGGCCCCCTCCCCCGCCACTTCCAACCATTTTTCCTCTAGCACTTTGGTATGTGCTTGCTGCTAGCTACGCCAACTATTCTGGAACGTTCCTTTTGACAAGGAACAAAGCCCTTTGGTTTTTGTGCCATCTATTATGGCATGTCCCTTTTGACAAGAAACAAAGCCCTTAATTTCTTGCGCCATCCATTTCGTTGCATTGTCCTCCTAACAAAGTTTTGACTTTGCTCAAGGACATGGCCTTTCGTTTCTTGAGAAGAACATGTTTAAGTTTAAGTTATTTATTTATTCTATCGTTTGCGTAGTCAGTTCCATGAGGTTGTCAGCCTCCTTCTTCACAGTCTTGGTGAGCCGTTGGCCTGGTCACGCCTCTGCAAAGCTTGCTCAAAGTCTTTCATCACACTCTTCAAACCACCACTGGCCTTCGAAGCACTCCTGCCACTCTTGCTTTGGTGTCTTCTCTTCTTTCTTGTTGCCCTTTGTCAAGGCCTTTCCTTTCCCAAACCCTTTTGACAAGGAGGGAGACTTGCTTTTTCCCTGCTTGTCCCTGACACCAGCTCTTTTGCCTCTTTGGACTGGTTGGTTTGTGACGTCACCAGGTCCTAATTCTACCTGAAGCCAGGTGCAAGTCCAGTTCTTTCCTTGGGAATCTCTGCAGGATTGCTATCTCTGACTCCCACTTGTCCCTTTTGTCAAGGATGGAGGACTGGTGGTAGGAATCAGAAATGTTCATGAACTTTGGCACCCTTGACCTGATCATATACTTTGTCTTGTTTGCTGTGTCTGGTTTCTTCTTGATGAAGGCGTTGTGAGCTGACCACGCATTGCTTGCTTCACCTTTTGTCAAGGCTTCCTTCAAAGCTGAAGCTGCTTCTTCGGTACTTTCTGTAGTCTCAGCAATTTGTTCAATCCCCTGAGGCAACTTCATACTTCCAAGCTTTTTCATATGTTGTGCCTCGAGGGTAGTGAACCTCTTGGCTGCAGTCCCTTGCGGGCTTTGTTTTCATTATGCCTTTGGTCACCGGCGCTTTCTTGGAGCTGCTGTATTTGCTGTTACCTTTTGTCAAGGTTTGTTGTCCTTTCTTCATTCGTCACTTTCTTTATGGCCTTGGGATCCACAAATCTGAACCACAAAGCTTCAGAATCACTTTTCGTTTCATGGTTTGATGTTTGGTTCAAGTCTTTGTCCAAAGGAATATCTTTCATTGGAGAAACAAAAAGAACTTGATAGTTGGTCAGAATTGATCAGAGCTAGGGTTGTCTTTTTCCAGTGAGTTCTGAAGATGGACCGGTGGAACCCAAATCTGGATTAACTATATGCTCAAGAGTTCTAAGAAGTTCTAAGGTCAAAAACACCAATGCCAAAGGGTGAACACCCCGACGCCAGAATGAATTGAATGATGCAAACCATTGCAGTTGAAACTCAATAAAGAGTTTTGAAACTCAATGCCAAAGGTTGCAAACCACTCAAAATAAAAGATTTGGAATGAATCATTGTAAGGGAACCTCTTGTTTCGAAGCTCTTGTTGGGGGAAGACCAGGCACTCTAGACCTAGACATTCACATCTCCCTGGGTCTCAAGACCTCTACATCTCTGGATCTCTAGACCCCTCGATCCATAGACCTCTAGAACTCTTCCTCCAGATCTCTCTGTCTAGGCGTTTAGATCTTTCTAGACCTCTAGATCTCTTTGCTGGACCTCAAGACATCTCTGGATCTCAAGACTTCTAGATCTCCCTCTAGATCTCTCTGGAACCCAATATGTCTAGATCTCGAGACCTTCTACTGCACCTTTGGACCTTAGACCTCTAGACCTCAAACACTGTTGGGGTTCTCTTGCCGGGATAACTTCCGCACTTTCGAGTCGCAAGTCTTTAGTCATTTGCGTCGCTGCTTCTGGTTGAAGGAACCGTGCCTCGCTGGGCGCGCTGCACCAGTGCTCAGGAGACTGTGCCACGTGTGTTTTCCTAGTGACTGGTATGTTCATGAACTGTTTTGGAACAGGGAGTGGCTTTCAGGAGGCAAACAACTCAGTTCTAGCGCACAAGCTGATCTTCCAACTTGTAGGCATCAGACAGACTAAGGTCACCCAACTTTGCAGATCGGCAAGGCTGATGGATTGGCAGTTGGCTTTGATCGTTTTTGAACTCTTGAATTCAGCCGGGGTTGGTGAGAGCTACCCTTTGCACACAGGAGGAAGCAGCTTGCATTGAGTCAAGTTGAAACGCAACTCTATACTTGTGTGGCAGTTGCCTTTGCTGGCCCTTCTTGTGGCGACATCGTGCGAATTGACACTGTGGAAGGCGCCAAAAGAAATCATAATTTTGATGCCTCCAGATGCTTGTTCGGACGTGACTGGGTTCATCCAGGTGAATGGGTACGATGCGCTCAAGGATGGCTTCCTTTGAGTATTAGAGGCCAACAAGTTCTCCAGGCGCCTGCGTTATCCTGACATGTTCCACACCTTTTGGCACTTCAACCCTTGTGAGTTGCTGCATCCATGGGAAGAGCTTCGAGCAAGATGTATTTCAAGACAGGCAGCCAGTGTCATACAATGCCCTACATGGCTGCAAGCGTTGCATCAAGTCCTTTCAAACAATTGTTGCAAGTCCTGCAGGGAGTTGCCTTCCGCAAATCTGCCAATCTTGAAGTGCAGCACGCAGTCCTGATGCAGCACCCAGTTTGTGTGACACTCACGCTGTTCAACCTGCAAGGACCGACTGCATATGTTCAGCGGACCGGTTTTCCAAGAGATCATTGCAGTCGAGGACACAAAGCAGCGAAACAGTCCATTTAATAATTTAATAAGTATCTCTTATTAATAATTTGAATATGGCTTTTTGCCAAGAGAAAATCAATAATACAAAAAACACATAAATTAATATGGTTCATTGCCAAAATCTATATATTATTCATCTCTTTCATGTTAATACATGTTGGCTAAGAGATCTACATTTTTTTCATCAACAAAAACTATGAAGAAAAACTTGCAGCTTGCAGATATATATTTTTGTATTTAATCATATTGTGGTCCTGATCAAATGTAGCAGCGCACCAGTTACATGTCATGTGCATAGTTGTGTATAGATGTATGTTTCACTGCAGCCGTTTGGGTTTATTTGCTTACTTTGAGCGTGAGCTAAAGGTGTGCCTAAGCTTGGAACATAACCTTTGGGTACCGTGACCCTGAGTCACTACGTTTGTGAGCCTAAACTCTCTGTTCATGGTAGCGGAGCTGAGGTTCTAAGACCCAGCTACCGTCTGCAAATCGAAGGTTGCCGAACTGCATCAGTTCTGGCACCGGAGATCCGTGAATACAAACATCACTTGCAGGAAAGCCGAATTGCTTCAGTCCTGGCTAGCAAGTCAATATGGCACAACCACAAGCACAAGGAGCACAGCCCGCAGATATGGCGCAGCAACTTGCACAGATGACACAGACACTAGCACAAGGGCAGAATCAACTGCAACGAGCAAATGGCAGAAGCATACACCCAGCAAACGGCTATCACACGGAACATCGCAACCAGTGCGGAAGTGCGAGACAGATCAGAATTGAAAGGCATCCCAAAGCCTGACAAGTTCAGCGGACAGATTGGTACCTGGGACTCGTGGTACTTCAAGTTCAAGACTTGGATCGAAACAAGTCACAAGAGTGCGGGAAAGTGCATTCAACTCCTTGAGGAGCACCAAGATACAGAGATCAATGAGACATCTCTGGAAGACGATTATATAGTTATATATCCTGAAGGAGCCGAGCTTGTTTCAGCTCAGGCCCGACAGGCTCTGATCTCACTATGTGAGGGAGAAGCCCTCGAGATTGTCAAGAACACCTCAACGGGTCAGCACTTTGGCCTAGAGGCATTGCGACGCTTGATCACTAAGTATGACCCACACCCACAAGCAAAAACAGCACTGCTGAAGAAAGTCTTGCGCCCACAGCAATGTGCATTAGACAAACTGCGAGAAAGCGTTGAAGCCTGGGAAAACATCAGGCGCAAGTATGAAGAGCAAAAGAAGAAAGCTCACTATGACATCATGAAGTCAGAGATTTTGGCCTACCTTGAGAACATCGAGAGCCGAAGAGAAGCAACGACAGGATCAGCGCCAATGGATGTTGATGCATTGGCCGCAGCTGCCAGCCAGACGCAAGCTTCACTTGCGAGTCTGGCCAAAGCCAAAGGAAAAGGCAAAGGTGGCTCAAAAGGCGGCAAAGGAAAAGGAAAGAGTCAAGATGGAGGCAAGGGAAACGACATAGGTAAACAGAAGGGAAATGGTTCGAATTGGTCCAATTTCCACTTCATGGATTCACGGAAAACGAATGATTGGTACAAGAATGATTGGAACAAGAGTAGTTGGAACCAGAATTCCAAGGGTAAAGGCGAAGGGGCAAAGGTAAGGGCAAGAGTAAGAGTAAGAAGGTAGCGCCAGCTGAAGAATCTGAAATTTCTGGGGCTCAAGAGCATCAACCCGAGCCCGAGCATTCCGCTGACATCGCCACCCTCTTCGCCCTCAAGATGGAGAAAGCAGCGCCCGCGTCAGTTGCCCAGCGAGCAGCGAAGGCCAAAGCCAAGGCTGACGTCAAGGCAATGCCAAGGAAGCCAGGATCTGGCAAAGGTCGCCCCGGGATTGCAGCTGCTGGAATTGCAGTCATGAACCAAGCCATCCAAGACACCATGCAGTCCAATCGTGAACTGTATGAGAAGAAGCCTGAGTCGATCCAAAAGGCCATTGGTGAGGCCGAGGCTCAAGGCGAAGCTGCAAATCAAGCCATCCTGGATCGACAGGAAGAGATGAAGCAACTGCAAGAGCAGTACGCCGAGAAGGAGAAAGAAGCCAAGATTCTGCTAAAGAGGCGAACCTCCAGCCGCGACCAAGGCTTGCAGCCGATTTGGCATCAGGCATGGATCCACGATTAGATTGGCAAAGTAGAAAGAAAAGAGTCGCCATCGTGCTGAGCAACATCGAGTTGCAAGCGCCCAAGGTCACGCGAATATGAGGCCAACTACCCTGAAAACCTCGACTACTATGAGATTGCTCGCGCCAAGGGCACTGGTCGAAGCTTGGGATGATGAAGACAATGAAGAGAAGTTTGATGAAACCCCTCAGCCTCGAGGCCGGGAGAAGGCCCAGACGCATCGCGGCGGCAAGAAGCCAACAAAGGCAGAGAAGGCTGAAAAGCCAAAAGGAAAAGAACCCAATTTGGAAGATCTCTCCACCACCATATTGGCGGAGTTGAAGCGGGAGAGCCAGGAATGGACGGCTACAAGTCATCCAGCCCGCAAGTCATTGAGAAAGCCCTCACTGTCGCAGGTTTCAACCCAGAGGACTATGTGGTGATGAAGCGCAGTGGTCTTGAAGGTGAGCGACCAGTGCGCAATCCTTCACAGCACCGGTCTTGGAGACCATCAATCCCACGGAAGTGCAAGAGATTGAAGGACTGGGTGGTGCAGAGTTTGAAGAAGAAGCGGAAGAAGATGAGAATGGCGCAGAGCCAGCCGAGGAGGACGACGATGGCGATCAAGATGAAGAAAAGGCACCAGAAGAGGAAGATGATCCCGTGCCATGGCTCGACCACAACAATCGTGTCCTCAGCTATGAGGAATGGGTCGCCAAGTGCGCCCACAAGGACAAGAGTGGCCACAAGTTCATGGTGTGCCACGCATGCCAAAAGGCCTTGAAGAGCGACAATGATTCATGATTGTGGAACCATCACATGGCCATCAACTGCTGTCCTGCGAAAGTGCTCGACTAGTGGGCAAAGGAGTAGACCATTCAGAAGAAGATCAAGGCATCCAAAAGCAATTCAATGAAAGCCGAGGAAGTCCTGCTTCCAAGAATGCTCCACAGCATGTGGCTGACGCTGACATGCCCCTGGATCCTAAAGAGGTTGCCAAGCACCTCAAGATGGAGGACCCCCACTGGGCGAGCTACAAGAAGACGGTGAAAGATCTTGGCAAGATCAATGCCAAGGTGAATATCGGCCCTTGACGGGGCAGTGCAGCTTTCGAGCGATGGCAGTCTCAAAACCAGTACTTTCTGCAGGAGCCTTGCTGACAGGGGTTGGTCCATCCAGATGAGCAAGACTGGAGGACTCATTGCTCGCGATGAGAAGAAGATCCCAATTTCCTTTTGCAACGGATCTGTACTCCGCGCCGATCGCGTTCCACCATTTCAACCGGCACCGATGTGGGTAGGTCCGGTCATGGACGAAGAGGCCCCGGCAGAATTTGAAGCCGATGAGGCCGAGCCAGGTGATGAACTTCCATCTGGTCTCAAGATCAACGCTCCAAATCGCCCAACGCGAAAAGAGCTCGAGGAACATTCAGTTTCACATTTGCCTTTTCGTTCGTGGTGTGAGGCCTGCATTAGAGGCAAAGCCAAAGCCAATCCACACAAGCGTGGACCATTCTGACGAAACCACCCCAGTAGTAACTGTAGATTACTGTTGCGTGAATTCACAAACTGATGATGTAGTCATGGATGCGAAGACACGCGCCCCAATCCTAGCTGTCAGGGATCGATGGACGAAGCGCCTGTTTGCCCACGTGTTGCCCTGCAAAGGTGTGACTAAGGGACCCTATGATTCGAAGGTACTCCTGATGAGTGGCCCAAAAAAGCTAGGGTGTTCGAAACTGATCATTCGAGAACCTGCTCTCACATCCGTCGTTGGGGCAGTAAAGAACGGTTTGAAGGATCATTGATCATCGAGAAGAGCCCGAAAGGAGTCAAGGAGTCCAAGGGAGAAATTGAACGAGCAGTTCATTCAAACTCTAGAAGGACAGGCAAGGACTCTTCGCGCCGCTCTCGAGTCGAACTACGGTAAAAAGCTTCCGATGATTCACCTATTTTGACATGGTTGGTTGAACATGCATCCACGGGCTGCAACTTGTTTTTCCGAACGACCGAACTCCAAGACGGAAAGACACCATACTCGAGAATTTGTGGACGAGACTGGAAGGTAGCCATTCCACCCTTTGGTGAAGCCGTCGAACACCTCAACAGGTCACAAATTCGAGGTCCAATCTTTCTAGGAGCGAAAGACAATACCACTGAAAAGATAGTAAGCACAGCCACTGGAGTTTACACAGTGCAATCGATCCGAAGAAAACCTGAAGAGGATCTATACGACGCAGCATTGCTGAAATCGATCGCTGGCATTCCCTGGGAGCCTCAAGCCTCAAGCAGTTCGCGAAGAACCAGCGATTGCAGCCTCAAGGGAACAAGTCATCAGCAGTCCAAGTCGTGAAGCTTTAGTTCAACCGCCTCCAATCGATGACAAGAAGAGAAAGCTGAAAAGGCTTTGCATCACCAAGAAAGACCTGGAGAGGTATGGGTACACAGCAGGTTGCCCAGCTTGTGACGCCACAAAGATTTGCAAAAGAACTTCAGACATCCAACACATCAACAGGCGTCAAGATAGACTTGAAGAACAGATCAGCGGTGAAGAAGAGAATCCAAGAGTTGCAAGACATGAGAGCCGAATAGGAGAGGCAGTCACTGGCATGCCACAGCCAGTCAGTGGCAAGTGACCTCACATCCTTCATGGATACGAAAGCGAGAGACCATCGGGAGTTCCCGATTCATGTCGGGTATTCGCACGACTCGACGTTGACGCCCATTGTTTTCAAACCAGAGGACCTGACTGGTCTACCGTTTGGCACAAGTCACAAGAAACCATGCAAACAATGCAATCATTGAGAGTGATGACAACCGACCTTCCACCAGAGATACTCAATGCAGCATTACCTCACAAGATGGACATTGTGACAGAGCTGTGGTCTGAACCAGCCGCAGCACCGCCGACACCAGGCACAGCATCAGCATCAGGAATTCGCAGACCAGGCGAACCTGAACCACATGGAGAAAAGAGAGAGAACACGAAGCGCAACATGAACCAGCAGGATCACCAACAGCAAAAGCAAGAATAGACAGAGACAAGAAAAGAAAAGCAGAAGGAGAACACGAAGATGAAGCCGAGAGAACAAGAGACATTAAAAGTATCGAAGTGGCTCTAGAAAGCCTAATAGTGCTATCTAGCATCGAGCTAGAGAAACCACTGTGAAGAGAAGAACCCATTGCCGGAAGAAATGGCGTAGGAAGCAAAAGACTGGTGGTACTATGGTGACATCAGTGGAAAAGAACTCTTACCTGAAAAGGTAGAGAAAGCCAGAAGAGATGAGATCGGCATTGTCGAATCTATGGGAGTTTGGGAGAAGATCCCAAGAAGCCAAGTTCCAAAAGGAACCAGGGTCATTGGAACTGGAACTCGATGGTTTGATGTGAACAAGCAAGATGAAACCAATCTTCTCTACAGAAGTAGATTGGTGGCACAAGAAATCAAAAGAGGCCGGTTTTGACAATTTGTTCGCAGCTACGCCGAGCTTAGCAGCATTGAAGCTGCTGCTCACTATCGCAGTTAGCGATAGCCTTCCATTGGAGAAAGGTGAAACAAGAAAGAGCAGACAGTCTTTTAGGATTTTTGGACAGGAAAAGATTTCATTTCTATTCCAAGGCAACCAGAGAACTTTATGCTGAGATTCCATCTGAAGGCAAGGAGCCAGAAGATGGAGATGTAGTTGGAAGATTGGTCAGAAGCCTCTACGGCACTAGAGACGCGCCTATGAACTGGGATCTGACCATCACAGCGTAGCTAGATTTTGGCAAGGTAAGTCCAACCCATGTATTTACTACCACCCAGCCAGAGAGCTTCGAACAGAAGTGCATGGAGATGATTTCACGACAGTAGGAAGTTTTGAAGACGTCAAACGGTCACCTCAGCAGCCAAAGAATGGCAAGCTGTGGAACGAGGTTTTCTCGGTCCACCTGGATCACCAAAAGCCAGTCAACAGATCAGAGTGTTGAATCGCATCATCACTTGGTCAAACGAAGGCATTTGGTGGGAACCAGATCCACGACATGCAGGGTTGATCATCAAGTCGTTAGGCACTGGTCAACCAGGCAAGGTCAAGACACCATTGGCCAAGCCAAGTCAAGAGGAACTACAACACGAAGAAATTCCTTTGAGCGCCGAAGATGCAACGACGTATAGATCTATTGCTTTGAGAGCAGCGTAGTTGGCACCAGATCGACCTGATCTGCAAACTGCAACGCGCTCATTGGCACAAGGTCTACAGAGTCCAACTTTGAGGCACTGGAACACGCTGAAACGATTAGCAAGGTATGGCAGGTACCGACCAAGAGTGGCACAGCTGTTTCCAAACCAGAGCACCTGCAACCCCTTCAACATGTGGTCAGACGTCGACCACGCAGGATGCATAAGAACACAATAGAGTGTGTCAGGAGGCGTGCTCGTGGCCAACAAATGCTGTCTCACTACCTACAGCAAAGGCCAAGGAGTTGTCTCCCTTAGCAATGGCGAATCCGAGTATTATGGACTTGTTTCTGGAGCATGTCAGATGCTTGGAATCAACTGCCAAAGACTGGGGGTTGTTTCCCAGCAAAGAGGTGACAATGGACGCTTCCGCTGGCATCGCCATGGGAAACCATCGAGGTTTGGGACGAGCCAGACATGTTGGCACTCAGTACCACTGGGTGCAAGAGCGTACAGCAAAGAAGGAGTTTCGTCTCAAGAAAGAAGGCGCCGACCGAATGTTGGCCGACGCGCTAACGAAAGCTGTCACTGAGGAAAAGATGAACATTGCAATGAAGGGCATGAACTTCCACTATCTCGAAGGTGAGCGTGAACGGACACTGAGAGCTTGAACGGCTTGAGCTAGAGTAGGTACTTCTTTCAGACCAAGATGTATTGAAGGGCTACGAGCTAATTCACTCATGTGCTAACCCTGCCTCGCTTAACTTCTGAGAGATGTTAAACTCGGGAGGCGTGATCAGAGGTAGCACCAGTTTCATGTCGTGTGCATAGTTGTGTATAGATGAATGTTTCACTGCAGCCGCTTGGGTTTATTTGCATACTTTGAGCGTGAGCTAAAAGTCTGCCTAAGCCTGGAACATAACCTTTGGGCACGTGACCCTGAGTCACTACGTTTGTGAGCCTAAAATCTCCGCTCAGGTCCGCTTTTCATAAATAAAGAGGATGAAGTGGACCAAGAAATCATTCAATGTGATCATTCACACATATAAATGACCTAGCTGGGCCAAGCGTGTTTTGGTACGATTAGAAAATATTTGTGAGCGATCCAGTCTGTTTGAGCAAGACAGGCCTTTGCCAAAGGCAAGAGCTGTCTACTGTTCTGAGCACCGCCCTTGAGATGCAGACTAGGAAGGGCGGTGCTAATTGTATTCTTCAACTTCTGTCGAAAGAGGATTCTTCGATTCTTCGGCTAGATTCTAGACTGTGGTGGAGGAGCGCGTTGGAGAATGGATTCGCTGTGACAAAGGATGGCTTCCACTCTCAATAGGCAGCTCTGCTTTTCTTCTTGCAGTTTCTGTATATGAGTAAGTCTTCCCAGGTGGACAGCCCGTTTTCGAACTTTACGCAGAACGCACTTTCGTATCGCAACTTAGCTGGCATTTCCAGACAACAATTTTACTCTTGTCCATCTCTGAGGTTCAAATCAACGACGATGTCCAGAAAGAAGAAAATGAAGGAGGACCGGAAAGACAAAATCGGTTCACGTCCTTATATACACATATTTTTGCGCTTACAATCTTCCACATCAGACAGCGCGTGCTTGGACGGGTCAAAGGAAGTTTTCATATGTTTGAAGAGAAAGCTCCGATTGATGCGCATAGTTGAGCGTGCGAAACGGAAATACACTACCTGCGTAGCGAGGCAGTTGAGGAGTGATCTCATTCTTAATTCTGGTTGCGCGCTGATTGTTCGTTTTTCTGTAGCCTGGACTGGTGTACAAAGCAACTGAGAGGTCCAAGACTGGCTGAAGTGCAGAGGCACTGAGTTTCTTTGAGGTCGCATGTTTCACAAAGGCTAGCAATGGCTAGGTGAGTGAAGCCCTCTTTGCTCTAGCAAAACTGTTTTGAGGCCGAGGTTTAACTCAAGACGAGGTCATGATGTCTTTTCGTGAAAAAGACAGACTAAATTTATGTCGCGCCACCCCAGTTCATCATCCTGCCCGGCGTCCTTATCATTCCTGCAAGGCAATATGTGAATATGTATAATGTAATAATAGTATATACCTAGAACCTGAGTGATCTTTGTTTTGGAGCAAAAACGTGTTTTTTTATATCAAAGCAAAGGTCAAACTGGCATATTTGTACTACAAAACTACGTTTGTACTCTGTCGCCTGTCCTCAATTCATCAACTAGCTGGACAAGCTAGACACTGTTGCCAGCTACGCATTGTGTACGTTGCACTGCGTACACTCTTTCGGCCGCTCCGCCATGATTGATGCGGTCCTGGCGGTCCTCCTCGTTTTTGACATGGTTGTGGCTTTGATTAGGCCTAGACTTTCCGTGGTGCTTCGGCATCTCCATGTTCATCAGTTGAACTGGTCTACAGTATATAAAACTGTTTGCGCATAGTTCTTTGCGCTCTTCTTCAAAGGCTCTCAACTAATTCGTTTGCTGCTTTGCTTTCCACTCCTCTTCTTTCACATGCATCATGTTTTGCTTCAACTCCTTCACTTTGATCTCCTTTTGTCACGCCTAAATCGTTGTCTCATCCACGAAGCAGTTATGGCTCAATTGCTGCGCCAGAATCAAGGCTCCAGCTACTGTTACATACCATTTTGCCGTGACGTCTCTAAGCAGCATTAGGCAACCTCTTGTGGCGCACTTGATGAAAGCCAAAGCTATCAGGTAAGCTATCACTCCTGATGTGAGTGATATCATATGATATCCACTATCTTAGACTATCTCCCTTTTGTTCGTTCTTGGGTTGGTCGCAGTGATGAACTGAAAGGGACACGCGTTTCACGGGCATTCGATCAGGTGTTCTTCAGGTTTTGCAGCGTTGCATTGTGGCTGAAATCGAATTGCATTGTCAGACTTCTCGGCATACGATCATCGCTTTCACAAGGCTGTCATTGCATTCACTAGATTGTCATCGGTATTACCTTGTATCACCAGATTGTCGCAGCTTCGAAACTTTGTCACCAGCTACACAACATTGTCATTGAAGAGTTCGGGGTGGGGTGGGGGCGAGCAGTGGGGTGTGCGGTGTGGGCTGGGGGTGCCAGTAGGTGTTTTTTCTGACGTTTCCACAAACGGTCATCGACTGCTGCACAAGATTGGCATCGCATTTAGAACTTCAGATTGCCAGATGGATAGATGCCATGCGACGACACAGCACATTGGGGTGGAGTGAGCCCAAACCAAAGTCAAGTCAGGTAATCCAGCGTTCTTGAAACGACGGGCTTTGAAGGTCAAGTCTTGAGGTGCCGCACGAAGTGCAGCTCAAACAAGTCTCTCTCTCTCTCTCTTTGTCTCTCTCTCTCTCTCTCTCTCTCTCTCTCTCTCTCTGTTGGAGCGCGCGTTTCGCTCCAGACGTAGCCGGTATGGCTAACAGAGTCGATGGCCCTTCCCTTTCTGGAAAGGCAGCAAGGAAAGTGTGTCCGGTGGATGGACACAAGTGGTGGTTTGTGCAGAGAACGGCGGACAGCGGCTGTTGAACTAGCATCAGTAAAATACACAGCGTAAACATACACGCTTTAAAATACATTCAATACAAACATGCACACCTACAAACGACTTGAGAAAAGACCTGCGCTATACTTGCTACATTTTGCTACGAGGTAGCGTTGGATTTGATAGTGAAGCATTGGTGCTAATCAGCCCTACTTACTTCACCCACCGGCTCAGCCGGTCCACAGGGGGCACTCTGCGGGCTCACTTCTGGTTTTCTCCCGAGAGACGCACGTAAGATTGTATTGCTACAGCCGCCTGTTTGGCAGGCCTGTCTGGCAGCCCTCTCTGGCAGGGAAAGAGCATCTATATAAAATGAATGAAACCCCGGTTGCATTTTGCAACCCCAGATAGACAAAAAACTTGACTTTGGGTCAAGCCTATGCTAATATGTTTTTGTTGCCTTTTGTCTTTCATCTGAGATCTTTACCTCTGGAGTCTTGAGCTGGACGACCGTCGATGCGATTAGCAAGGCAACTGACACGATCAAGTCGTTGGACAATGTTGGGCTGAGGAACCACATGAGAGAGCCTACTGGAGCGCAGAACTCTGACATTGCACTAAAGTGGGGACTGTGTAGGTCGCCATTTTTGACAAAAGACTAGGCAATCAGAAGAAGGTGGCTCATGATGTTCAGGTTCGCGTCATGCCCACATTGTAGCATTGCTTAGCAGAAGAGTTGCCAGGAGGGGGCGGGAGATCGTTCTCCCCTATCCCACACTGTGCTCAGAAACATTCCTATCAAAACTGTTTGCAAGAATTTAATCCATGCCAAAAACCGTAGTCATGTGCACATGGGCTGGAGCGGAAAACGTGCGGTCTCCATTGCAACCAATTTGCCATCTTCACGACGAGGGGCGTTCAAAAAGGCGACACGGATGTCTGTGGCAGCTATACTCCAGCCCTTGAGAGCTGCAGTCCTCACCAAAGCCCTCACCTGGCATCCATCAGCACTTCCAGCGTAGCAGTCCCCTTCGAACCTGGTTTCTGAGTAGTTGCCGCAGCATACGGCACGGGCTCTTCGAGTACCTGTCCCAGCTTTTCGGTGTACACCATCTTCGCACAGGGAGCAACTCTATCGGTTTTCCTTCACTGGCTGCCCGGACCCTCAAAGCCTCCTTGGTGATCTGTTCCACCGCTTGCTTTGTGGTGACCAGCTGCGTGTGCTCTGCAGTGATGGCTGGAGTCCAACTCTCAAAGTCATCCAGGACTTCTTTCGTGCTCACAGTCTTGGTGACCCAGAATTCTTCCTCAATTTCCTTTTGGTCGATCGTCCGATCATCATGGTCTGCCTTTCAATTTTGCGTAAGATCGCCTCCGTGAGGACCTCCATGTAGCAGCCCTAGTCTTGGTTGGTCACATCGACCAGCTGCATCTCCTCCCCGATATACTTCGCCAGATTCTCTTGAATTAGTCGGAGAACTCGAACCTTGGCATGAGGAGCCTTGCCAACAGCCCTTTGCTATCGAAGTGCAGAGACAGTGCGACAGGGTGGACCACCCAAAACAGCTTTCCCGCGGCCAGATGCGGCCAGGGACAGCAAATACATGAAGACATAGCCATCATGCAAGTCTGCGGAGATGTCCGCTTGGAGGTCAACGCATAAGACTTCAACACACTTGCTGCAGAGTCTTCTCCCAGTATTTTGTGGGGCCAGAGAACAGGTGCACCACAATCTGCTTCGCACGCTCCAGCCTCCGGCGCTTTCGCCGGTTCCAAGGGAGAAGATGACTCTGCGCCAAGTCAGGCACGACCCTCATCAGGATCTCATCAGGGAGCGAAGGGGACAGCGACTTCAGTTTCACCGTCAACGCCAGCTCCGTTGAGTCGCACAAAGAGGCCAGCTCCCTTCCTTGTGGGTTTTCCAGCAGGGTCTTCACCATCAGCGCTTTCTTGATGAATGCGCCTGGCGCTCTAAACGACCAATCATTTCACGAGAAACCATGGGACACCCATGTTGGACCTCTACCATGAGCTCACGACCTCGGTCATCTCGAAGGCCACATTGAGCTCGCTTCCATTCGAACTTGTACCCCAGCTCAGCAATGCCGCCCAAGGGGACAATCCATGACTGACTCAAAGCAACGTCCCTGGGGTCAGAGAGAACCGCAGCTTGGATGTGACTCCATCAGCCAAAGTGACCTGGGTTGGCGCGGCTTCTTGCCACTCTTGTGAGTCGCGAGCTGGTCTCAGAGCGTGTGTCGCTCCAGAGTCAAGCAAAACCAAATCACTTGCCTCACGCTCCAGCTGGCTGATCTTGATCGCCCTCAACTGTGGCACCCGGAGGGACTTCAACAACTTAGTGGCTTCTTGAAGGAGGGCCTCACCTGTAGTTGATGTGGACCCTGTTTCACCTCCTTTTGATGCTCCCGAATGCTCCCTCACCCGACAACAACTCCGCCGCCTGACCACCTCCCTCAGAGTTCACCTCCATCTCCTGGATCTTGACTGGAGTTGCGGTATTTGTGGACGCAGGGCCATTTGAGGACGATTTTGACCACGACCCCTTTCCTTCCCTGGACCCGAACCGGGTTCACTGACGTTCTTGCCGTCCTTGGTGTCCTTGACTGGAAAAGACTTCCCCTGGGACTTCAACTTGCATTCGGTTTTACTGTGGTCTTTTCCGCCACAAATCCAGCAGCGAGCATTCTTGTCATCGATGCCCTCCCAGGAATGAGACCACTTGCAACTCTTTCCAGCTTTGCATCCCGCATCAGAGCGGAAGTACCGGCAGGGTGCCGAGTTGGTGGCGGAACCAGTTGACCCGCCTTTGCCCTTGTCACCAGTGGAGGTGGATGTAGTCGCCTTCTGTGGCGCTTCCAGCTGCTTGACCTTAATGGGAGAGGTCTGCACCCCTGAAGAAGTTCCCAACAACGACAGGGTCTCGGCCTCCGCCAACAAGCATTGACTGAACCTCCAAACACTTTGGTGAACAGGCTGTTGATCAACTGCCAACTGCAAACGGCTCTGCGCCAACCGAAAGGAAGCTTGAGCGTCCAGCGAAGCCAC